AAGCGCATGCTCTTCACGCCGTTCAGGAAAACAACAACCTGTCATCCGAGCCATGGCTCACGGTGCAGTGGGCCAGGGGATGGCCGAGGGGCGGATCGAACGTTTTCCTCCAAGTCTTGCTTGTACATCTACGTCCGAGCATCGACCGAGAGGCGCTATCAGTCGACGTGGTGAGATAACGAAGGCACCTCGTACGGCCGCTTTCGAAGGGTCCCCCCCATGCGCGCCATCCACCTGATTTCAAAAGCTTGGACCTTTGACCCGAGCTCGGAAAACGATCGAATATCTCCTGAGGAAAAACAATTGAAACCTTGCCCATTCAACTCGTTATGGTTTTGAACTGATCTAGCTTGCACTCAACCTCCTGACATTCGGAGCGGGAAGGTGGGGGACAGTCGAGGAAAGCTGTCCTGGCCCGAACATCTGAACGCCAGCTTCCCAGCCCGACTCTCTTCTCATCCTCGGGTAACTCATCGATTACAGCCAGCGAGTGGCGGGCTGGCGCGTGTACAAAAGCCGGTGAACGTGTCACATTCTCAAGAAGTAGCGCACCTCGCCGAAGCCCAGCAGACCTGTGTTTCCGTGACCCTGGCCCCCCGAACTCCTGGAACATGGGCACGAGAGCTATGACCTGCTGCCTGGCAGCTTGGGATGTCTGGGGGGGAACATCAAGAACAGTTCCTTGGGCAGAAGCTATACGTTCATTACCGTTGGGCCCCAGGAAGATCCGGGAGTGAAATGCTCGTGGAAGCCCCCTGATGGGATGTCGCGCCGCCGAACCATTAACACGGGCATCCGCCCCCCGCAGGTCGATCGGTCCCCACGGAACCTGAATCCCATCGGCGTCAAGCAAATGGGGTTCGGGTGGGACGAGGGTGGGGGCCGGGAACTTTCGGGGTGATCCCATTCCATTTCTTCCAACAAGCTCCTATCGTCGCTCTCTAAGGCGTCGCCGTACCATGCAGGTAGCTCCTCCTAGAGCTTCCGCTCGCGCCTGGACAACGTCGGGGTGCAGGCCTTCCAAGCTCGGTGCTGCACACTATCGGGAAGCCCGCAAAGTGGGTAGTATCATGAGGTGTGATGGCCACACGCGCGTGCCCTCGCACGCGTCCACAGTCCCTTGCACAAGACCGCAAGAGCTAAATACTGTCCACGCTGAGTGAGACCTTTATTCAGAAGACACAAGACATTTTTGAGGGATTCAGCACAAACGCGCGATCTCTGGAAGCCAGGGGTGCTCGTGGCCAGCGCACGTTTTATGGGATCTCTGAATAGCCAGACCCAAGAAGTGCGACAACATCGAGGTGGACGTGTATGCCAAGCAAACCTCACGTTTGTAACCGTTTTGAAACGCCAAAACCAAACTGGACACCCAACCAATCCTGTGGAGGCAACGTTGCCTTTGCATCGGGCCTCCAAAACCACTCCATGTGGTGGTGTCATCAAAAGGAATCGAGCACCCAATGTGGCACAATTTTTCAACCTGTATAGGAGGACGTGGTGGGACTGGTGGGAGCCGTCTACACCACCGCAACCCACTGAAGCACGGGGGCAACGGCAGGTCGCCACATGGGGCCTCCAGCAATCGCACGCCCGGCGCGGGTGGCACCACTTTGGTGTCGGGGGGGGGGTATGCAAGGAGCCTGGACTCCCGAAGCTCGCTGCTGCAAACCCCCAGTGGACGGGCCACAGGTGGCCGCGGGTGAAGCCCCAGCCGTGGACATGTTCCCGATCCTGCCACTCCGACGGGAAAGGGCACGCCTGCAGCGCTGGAGGACCCGGTGGCGGCGGCGCACGGCCTTAACGAGCTGCTTTTGCGCTTCCACAAAGCGCGCTTGGAGCCTCGCCGCCGACCTGGAGCGAGATCAGATCCTACAGAAACACTTTTTTTGTCTGCGGGTCGAGAACGAGCCTCTTCCGGTTAAGCGCTAGGCGGGGCGCGCAAAACACTAATTGGGGATACAGGGCGCGGGCGGGCGGGGCCTCAGGCGGCCGGAGGGCGCCGGAAACAGGCGGTGCCGAAGAGCTTGCACAGGAAAAGGTACGCCTTGGACAGGAGACGGAGGCGAAATCCCGGAGGCATCCTACAGAAACAATCTCGGTGCGAACATGTCCTGCCATCCGTCCCAGGAGCTGGGCGACTTTGCTGGCCAGGTTCTGTTTGCTAGCAAACGTGCTGGTCAGTGTGAGCGCCCACCCTGAGCCCATGGCTGAAAATGACGAAAAGAGCCGTCGCCGCCCACGTGATCCCATTAAGCACCTCCTGTTCGGTGCTCTTGCTGGTCACACTGTCGTCGCCTACAGATGACGACAGCCACACATCGGAATGCTCCTCAACATAAAGACCAAACGTTCCTATGCTATACACCCGAACAAAGATCTCATTGAAACTGTCTCTTACAGGCAATCCTGAACCAACAAAGAGATGAACCAACCGTACTGAGCCACGATGTGGAGCAGTTGTAGGGCCACGCCACTAAGTGTATGTTGTCGTAACAAT